ATCCAACTATTGGTGAGGGCAGTGTCTCTGCAAGGGATAAAAGGCCCATGGGTAGGAAAGCTACAAAAGAATTATTTCAGAGAAATCATGTTGTTGAAGCTGAAGTCCAAAAAATGAGCATACAATTGGAGACATTTAACCAACACCTTGCTGAGAAGGAAAAGAAAAAAGATGAAAGAGAAGAAAAAAAAAAACGGATTCAAGCACTGCAGGAGTTGAAAGAACTTGAGATTTAAAAACAAGAATTTGAGATCAAAAGACAAAAACATGAGATGAAAAAGGAAGAACATATGATAATGACTACGGACATTTCTCATTTGGACCCTCAGATAAAAGCGTATTATACAATGCGAAAAATGAGATTTTTGCCAAGTGGTCCTTAAATGTCAACAGCCCAAATTACTATTTCCCTTTGCCTCCTGATAAATAATTATGTGAGAATGTATTTTTAAATTTCTCAATGTCATTTATTTTTTAATGTAATGTTAGTCTTTATTTGCAATGTCATTTTTTTATTTTTTAATGAAATTTTCGTGGAGTGAATTATATTTAATTTTTTTCCTTCAATTTTTCAATTTTTTTCATTTTTATATTTGTCTAGTCGAGAATAATGTAAATATATAATTTTTTTTTTCTTTTACAAACAGTTAAAATAATGTCACTAAAGACAAAAAAATGAACAAAAAGAACACTAAAAAACCTATATCCAAACAATACACTACAAAAATTTCAACTTTTTGCGACGGTAAAATACCGTCGCTAATACTCCTAATGCCGTCGCAAAAACTTTTTGCGACGGAAAAATGACTTTTTGCGACGGCAAGAGAGGGTCGCAATTGGAGGGGTTGCAAAAGAGTTTTTGCGACGGCACAGTCCGTCGCTAATGTTTTTGCAACGGCATTTTTGCCTTTTGCGACGGCACTTTGTAGTCGCTAATAATGTTTGAAATTTCTTGACTTTTTGCGACGGTAATATTTTACCGTCGCTAAAAATTTTATTTGAGACGGCAAAAAATACCGTCGCTAATAGTCTTTTTTTTCAATGGCAAGAACACTGTTTTTGCGACGGTGTGATACCGTCGCAAAAAGTATTAACAATATGAAAATTTCTATTTTTTGCGACAATGTGCCGCCGTCGCAAAAAGTATTAAAAAATAATAAAATTTTATTTTTTGCAACAGTTTAGTGCCGTCACAAAAAATAAAACCTATAACAAAATCAATAAAAATAATAAAATTTGGTAAATAATAAAATTTTGTTGCTGTTTTTTTTTTCTTTGTTGGTGTTTTTGCTTTTTGTTTTGGTTATTATTATTATTTTTTTTTTTTGTCTATTATTAGTTGCTCACACAAACAGTGTAAGAAATTAAAAATGAAATATGACATCAGATTTTATTATTTTAATTTTTAGACTGTGTTTGATTCATAAATTTGACAAGATTTTCCTTTTCCAATCCCTCTCCAAATTAATGAATCAGACACAGACTTAGTCTCTCATAAAGGAAGCGTGAGAAATTGCAAATGAAGTATGAAATTTTGTTTTTAACTGTATAAGTTGCATGGTCAAAGAAAATCTGAAATTGAAAAGTAGCATTTGGACATCCTTGAAACTGAAAATATGGTCTAAATTCTGATGATGTAAAAAACAAACCAAAACGAAGAGCATGATGTAATACACATCAACACATTACAACATAGACAACTCTTGATCTTATTAGCAATTCCACATACCCTGACCTCAAAACACAAAAACAAAAAAAAAAACAAAAACAAAACATAAATCCACATCCCCGTGCGGATACATTTGAGTTTTAGATTAGAGATATTGATTATAGGGCATCAAGCCACTTATTTGAGTTATGAACAGCTGCTGCATGTTCACTGCTGAGCCTGCAAGTGAAGATATATATATTGAAGTGTTAGCAGTTTTATTTGATTTTTTTATTTTTTATTTTTCACTATCAAAGCATATCCGAGTGCCATTGGATTTTTATTTAAAGGCATGAGGGGATTACCAGAAAACGTTTCTTGTAGAATTCAACAAGCACTTGGGTTCACATTTTGTCTGTGGATAAGCGTCAATCTTGTTCAGCTCCTGCACATAGATCCGATAATAAGAGATACCATCATTCAAGATATATACAAGAATGAGTTTAGTTTATTAACTCACTTCAATCCATGCTGCTAGTTTTGGTCTTCCTGATGTGATGTCATACTTCAAGGCATCTTCAAAGAAGATTTGAAACCTTTCAATGAATGGAGCATAGGCAATGTCCACCTGTAGATCACAAATTTTTACTCATGAATTAGAGGAGGATTTCAAATTAGCCACATGACTGCATCGGTATGCTTGTTTTTTAAAACAATTAGTTAAACATATGCTCTCTAAAAATATCATCCACGTCCCATGAAGAAATGAATGCTTGAGAGAACTGAGGATAACCGACAGATCATGGACAAGGCATACCAGACTGAATTGACCAAAGAGAAATATGAGACAAAAATCCACAAGCTAAATAGTAAGTACACATAAGTACATATTTTCAACTACTTCTAAAATATTCCGCATGAAGGCACCATATATTAAACTACTATGAGATAATTTTAAAAACACAACCATTGCTATTAATTGCTTTAAACCTCCCAGCTTGGGATATTTTGTATGTCACAATCACAGTCACAACATGCCCAAAAGGACAGTAACTTGAACAATTCCTAGAAGATTCTATATAATTACACAAATAGATAAGAGAATAAACTTACAGTATAATTTTTAACAAGGATGGTAGTCTCGAGTCCCAATTGATATTCCCTTTTGCAATCATAACAGCAGGAAAACAAATCTAATAAATTGTAATGAAACAAATCCCAAAAGAATACCAAACTATAATGTTATTTCTTCACCTTAAATAGCAAAGGTTCTCTTTGACATCCCTAACAGTCTCAAAGTGAGCGGTGTTATTCATTGCATACCTTCAGAAATGAAAGTTTGGTATTCCAATCAAAGTACAAGTAATTTTTCTGTGAAAGGTTATGCCCATTTTGGCATCTTTCAAATATAATACACTACATATATATTGAGAATAACTGATGTTGACCCTTACCCTCTACGTTGAAGCAAATCAACGAGATAAGAAGTTATATGCCTGCCAGCAACATTCATCCATTTTGTGAGATGAGCAAATGAGTAGCCATCAACAATTGGAACCCTAGAGAAATCTACAGAATCAATTTATCAGAACCAAATGCATTCCCTTTTAACGAACGAGTAAGAAAAGGTTAAATAAGACTGATTCGATTGACAGTGATGAGTAATTTAGAGAATAAGCAATCTGATACATGGAATTGATCAAATTATGGCCCAGAACTCATAATTCAGACTGCTGAATATATATATCAACTTATCAACCGTAATTCACAAGAATATATATATATATATATATATTAAAAATAATAATGAAAAAGGAAGTTTGGAAATAATTTGCAGTACTATCAAAAAAAAATCAAAGAATCACTAACAATGTTCAAAAACATGTCGTTAATCATCCCATATGATATGAGTTGTTTGACCTTCAGTCCTCACCCATAGGCTCCATAGTTCAACGTGTTGACGCAACATACTTTAATATACAGAGACCCAACAAAACTTATCAACACCACCAATACATAGGTATCGGCTGATGAGTTATCATGGCAACAAGACTCAGAATAATAGCATTCATGTATCTGGACTAGTAATGACAACAAATATATTTAGCTACTGAAGGTGAAATATATATCAATAGAAGAAAATGTAAAATACCATATTTTCAATTCTAACTCCTATATGCAAGTGTCTTGGCTTCCATTTCAGATCTACTTGTGCCAATGAAATCATAGCTCCCTCTAGTATTCAAATCAAAATTTACAGAACCGCCTTCAACTTTAAGCTCGATGTCTTTCCTTTCCTCTACCTCCGCCAAGTAAAGTGACCCATTCGCTTTCCTATTAATGTCATTCAATAAGCTCTTTTGTATATTGTTTTCATTCCTCACTTCCCCATCCACGTTCTCCATGAGATTTGATAGAGCCAAATTGAAGTTGGTTAGCTGAGCTCTTGTGGCCTCGAGACTTACTGCAGGGAAGTTCATATCGAGTGTGAGGCTCTTTTGAGCTTTCTCTATTATTGTTTGCAAGTACTTCCCTTGGGCCTCTATTCTCATCTGCAACTTCTTTTGTACCTATTACATATTAGGAAAAAAATAAAAATCAGACAACAGCCAACAACCATAGCATGAATTAGCAATAAGTTCATGACCTACCATGGTGAAGAGGCCTACAATTAAAGGAAAATTGTTCACAAAACTGTCAAATAAAAGGGATACCTCGAGTTGCTTTTGTAATCTTTTCCGTACTTCAACCTGACACCGCAGTGCCTCTGCAATTGGCAGTTCTCTGTTCAGAACAGAACGTTCATTAGCAACAATATGGGCAGTTTCAAGAACAAATTTTACTCATAGTTTTTCTACTCAAACACAAGAATAGAAATCACTCCGAACTGAATAGAAAGAGTGGTTGCTTCGTATTAGAGAAACAAACAAATATATGCAGTTGAATTGTGATATCACCATACCCTTGTTCACTATTCACTCCCAGTGAATGGTAGTTGCACTTGAGGAATGCACTTGGTAATCTCTGTAGGAAACATCTGGATACAGAAAGAATAATGCGTAATAAGAGCAAATTTGGTAAGCCACAATAGAAGGCAGTGACTTAGACAAAATCACAAACAAAAGGGGAAAAAAAGTTAGATAGTAAGAGCATCTCCAATGATAGTAGGCATTTTACCTATCTAAATATTACTATAAAGTATATATTTTATTTTGCCTATCGACTGTTTTATGTTTTTACTCCAACCATGCTCTTTATTTTAGCTATTTATCCAAATACTATTAATTTTATAGAATGCCACGTCAAACACAAAGATGGAGGGAAATGATCCTAATGATTGAATACATTTTGCCTAGCGTTGAAGGCTAGCTACATGTAGCTAGTGAATATGAGCTGAGGCAAAATGCCTAATCATATGCCTAGTGCATTGGAATTGAAAAAAGTGAATCACACTAGGCATTTTAACTAACAAGTATTATATGCCTAGTGCATTGGAGATGCTCTTAATAGTGATGTTTTTAGTGGGATCATTGTTGGAAACAGAGAGAGAGAGAGCAACCACTTGTTCCCAAACAGGCCCAAAATTTGTTTGTTTTTGGTGACTCCCGATCGATCATATCACCCAAACAAACCATTTCGGTCCTGTGTGTTCAAAATCCGAGTAATATAAAAACCTAGAGAGAGAGAGAGAGAGAGAGAGAGAGGACTGTTCTATCAGAATCTTCACATCTCTGGGGAACTCGTAAGTCTCTCACAATCCATCTTTCGATCCTCGTACAGCGTTTGTATATGTTTGGGCATTCTGATGGGAAATGTATCAGCTGTTTCCATGTCGATCTGATGGTTTTTGCTGGGTTTTGTTGATTTTTTTTAAAATTTGTTTGGTTCATTTCAATCTGGTGATCTTTTATTGGATTGAGCTCAGATTTGTGTTCTAGTTTAGCTTATTAGAGATTGTTTTGAATATCTGTAAATATAATTTTGGGTTTTGTTTGGTTGCTGAGAAAATTTGGGAAGTGGTTTGGATTTTGTTTGTGCATGTGGTTTTAATGAGCTGGGTGATTGCATGGGGTACTTGACTGGAGGTTTGGGTTTTGAATAATGAATAAAAACTGAAATGTTCCAAAGAAAATAGGCAATTATGGAATTGAATTGTTTATATCATATTTCAAAATGGTTGATAGATGGTAAGACAGGATATATATGTTTATGCATGTTTTTTATGTTTCTGTTTTGGGGGAGAATTTTACTTTATTCTCTGACTCTCAATGAGTTCCAATACAGTTGATCATTTTGGGCTAGCCTTAATTTTGTCTTATTTCAGTCTTGTATGGGTCATCAACTTATTTTCCATCTTCTTTTTCTTTGTTTTAATATTGCATTTATCATTTTTTTTTGAACATTTGATATTCAATTTGCTTTATGAGAATTGAACTGTAATTGTAAATTGGAGCATGTTTCTCTTGATGTGATTCAGATTGCCCAAAACTTTCTGATTGGGGCCTTTTGTTTATGTATTCCATTTGGTAAGGAAATGTTTCAATGTTTTGTATGTATTGAACTTAATTATATCATTTCTGGTGGCACATATGGCTATTGGAAAAAATGAGTATTTGATACTTGAGGCTATTCATTGTGTTCAAACTTGATAAATTCGTGTATTGGACCATGATGATGCTAGTAGTTATGGATTTTAAATTTTAGGCCTCGTTTGGAGAGTGAAGAAAATAGCCAAAAAGTCAAAAAGCCACTACAAGTTGTCACATCGTAAAAAAATCAAAAGGCCAACTAAAATGGCAAATTTCCAAATGAGCCCTTAATTAATAATTTGACCAACGATAGTGGCTTATTGCTCTTGGCACAGAGATGTCGAACATTTACCTTGCCAATATGGCATGGAAATACAAAAATGAAGTCCCAACCAGGCATGATGATACATCAGTTGAAGTTCATCACTATGCCTCATAAAATTGTTGTGGTTTGTGCAGTTTCATATTTGTCTTGGTTCTCTATCAATTTTGTGGCTCTTTCTTGTTTATATGCAAATCAATAGTGTTCCCAATTGTGGAAGTAAACGTAGGATATTTTTTTTGCGACAGAAAAATACCGTTGAATTTATTTAAACCATTTTGTGACTGTATATATATGAAGCTGTCTCAAAATCACAATCACTATGCTAGGTTAGAGTTTTCCAAAAACTCTTTTGAGAAAATTATACTTTCTTGTGTTTCCGTGTTATATTGTTTTTATTGAATTTTTTAAATATTTTAAGTATTTTTTTTAATTTTTAGACACACCTAACATAAATACACCTAAAAAGTTAAAAAATAGATAGACGAGAGACACAGAGAGAAAATGAGAGAGAGAAACAGACAGACAGAGAAAGAAGAGTGATGAGTGAAAGAGATAAAGAGAAGAGAGAGAGAGAGAGAGAGAGACAGGAAGATGAAAAAATGAATGAAAAGAGAAATGTTATATCTTTCTTAATTTTTTTTGCGACAGAAAAATACCGTTGAATTTATTTAAACCATTTTGTGACTGTATATATATGAAGCTATCTCAAAACCACAATCACTATTCTAGGTTAGAGTTTTCCAAAAACTCTTTTGAGAAAATTATATTTTCTTGTTTTCCGTGTTATATTGTTTTTATTGAATTTTTTTAATATTTTAAGTATTTTTTTTAATTTTTAGACACACCTAACATAAATAAGCAGAGTATTTGCGACGGCACGATTTGCCATCTCAAAAAATGAGGGTATTTGCGACGGCAGAAAATACCGTCGCAAATGCTCTCATTTTTTGAGACGGCAAATTGTGCCGTCGCAAATGCTCCGCT